CCCAGGGACGCTGGGGGTCCCGCGGCCCCCCGGGGACTCCGGCTGGGCCCAGCGGCGCCGCCGCGTGGAGCGGGTGAACGGGGCGCCCCGTGACCGCGCGTCCCTTGCAGGCGCTCGCGGCTCCCGCTGCGGCTCCCGCTATCCCGCCCGCAGCCGCGGTGCGGAGCCTGCGCTGCCCTTCGCTGGAGCATTTCCGAGACAACTACCTGATCCCGCAGAAGCCGGTTGTCCTGGAGGGGGTCATTGACCACTGGCCGTGCATGACCAAGTGGAGGTGAGAGCGGCTCCTCGCTGCTGTTCCCTTCACTTCTGCGTGTTTATCCACAAACGACAGGGGTCGAGTGCATCAAATCACTCTAGGATATTACGTTCCAGAGCAGTTTTGTTCAGCAAACAGTGCAATATAAGGCAGCAAAAAAGATAAGCTGTAGCTGGGCAAGAGAAACTAGCTGCTTAAAACTCAGCTCAAAAGGATATTGAAAAAGGATATTTCCATAAGGTTTAAAATAGGCCACACAGAACCAAAGCATATTATGGCATAAAATATATACAACCTTGACTGCTCATTTCCTTGCTGCTTGCATCTTTTTCTGCTATCCTTTGTCTCTGTCTGGTTGGTCTTAGTGGGAAGAAATGGTGGCAACCAGCATTTACTGCTCTGAAAGATGGGTTTCGTCCATCAAAAGAACGCTATAAAGGGGTAATGGAACTTTCTCTATTTCAGCGTGGACTATCTTGCTCAAGTTGCGGGGTGCCGCACGGTTCCAGTGGAATTGGGCTCTCGATATACGGATGAGGAATGGTCTCAGAAGCTCATGACCGTCGATGACTTCATCAACCAGTATATAATGAACAAGGTCTGTTACTCTCATGTTGTTCCATCTCCGAATACAGCAAGGTGCTGCTGGAACAGAGAATTCTGCCTAGTTGGATGTTACTAGACAATCGGTGCTTAGAGGTGCTCTTAATGCAGGAGGCACATTATAGAGACAACTGTGGATTAAAATATTTGAAATGTTTTCAAGATCTGAAGCTACAAATAATTATTGCAATAATAACTACCTTTGATTCTCTATATAATGAAATGTGTAGCTGCTGGAATTTAATAAATAGATCTGCATCAAAAGCCTGGATGGCAGCATCCAATTTAGGGATTTAATTCAGCTCTTCAGCCAGCAGTCTTGTTCCTCTGAGTTATTAAACTGCTTAGTGAGGTCTAGGATATAGGTCCAAGTTCACATCCATCAAGTAAAAAAAAAAAAGGCAAGCGACTAACTAACTAATGTCCTTTTACTTGGACAGCTGAGGATCAGAAGCTCTCGTTTTCTGTCCCTTAGTCTGCTGGCAGATAGAACCGTGTCCCTGCGGGTTGCTCTGTGGTGCAGCCTGGACTAGAGCGTGCAGATACGTGCAGCGAATGAAGGTGAACTAGTCTGCGCCCAGCGGTGGGTCTGCCTAGAGAGGAGCTGCCAGACTCCATAGTGTTACTGCTAGGTTCCCTCCAGCAACTTAAGCTAGGTGATTTGTTAATTATGAGGATGTATCTACACTCCTGCCATTTCAGTGTAGATGCAGGCTATTATTCCACAAGGCCCTTTATATTAGTCCGCTGCTGAGACAATTCGTGTACTTTGAAATACCACGTTGAAAACTGATCTTAACTATAAATAAAGTCCATAAACACAACTGTGAAGCCTTACCCTATATGTCACTATGCATTTCTTTTTTTTTCTTTGTCTGCTGTAATTTCAGAACAGCGTAGGATACCTTGCCCAGCACCAGCTTTTTGATCAGGTAAAACAGAGTGAATGTTTTTATCTTTCTGCAGTCATTTGTTCCCTTTAAAGGACAAGAAATCACAAGTAATTTTGAGGATATCATCTCTACTAGATGGAAGGTTACGATGGGGGAAGGTTCACACTATTTCTTTGTATTTGCTTTTCCCACAAGTTGAAAGAACAGGGGTGGTTTCACTCAGCTGAAAAGAGTGCTGAAAACGCTGCAGGAAGCGAAAGCATTCACTTCAGTACAGTGTGGCATTTAGTTGTATGGTTATCATTATATGGAAATGCTGCTTATGGAAAAGCAGAATTTTCCCAAAGAATATGTCATTGAGGAAGGAGATTTGGCCAGCACGCAGTCTTCAATGGTAATATATCAACCATGTTCTGATATGTCATTTCAGTTAATTAGAGGAGATTAGCTAGGTGGGATTCTTATAAAGGAACCCCACGGAGAAGCAAGCATAGCATATAAAAGACAAGTTGCTCCTTTTCCGTATCAGCAAACCTGCTCATTTTTATAGTTCTTGCTCTTTGGGCTTCTCTGGTGTCTACTGAAGAAAAAGGTCTCTGAAGAATAAGAAACGCCTTCCCTTTCTTTTTCTTAACTCTTCCTCCCTCCAACATGATTTGCTTGATAGAACGGAAAGTTTGGGGACATTCCTGCAGATTTCCAGCACTCTAGTTATTTCTGCACTGCCTTGGCTGGACAAGCAGATCATTTGTTCTCTTAGTATCAAGCTGAGATACTTTGTTCTAAGAATGATGTATTTTGTGCAAATCAGCACATATCCTTTCCAATATGTTTATTTCTTTATGGGGTAGATACCAGAACTGAAGGAGGATATCAGCATCCCTGATTACTGCTGCCTGGGGGAAGGGGAAGAGGACAACATCACCATTAACGCTTGGTTTGGCCCTGAAGGCACCATCTCACCACTTCATCAGGATCCCCAGCAAAATTTCTTAGCCCAGGTCTGTACGGTACTTTCCTGAAGCGTGCTACCAATGCTGTTGCTAGAACACTGCATATAACGTGTAGATGGAAAGCCCCATAGAGGGAACTGTTGAACCAAAAAAAGATGCTTCCCTTAAAAGTTTCAGAACTTGTGTTTTCCAGCCTGAAGAATAGGAGTGCATCTGCCAGATGCTCTGAAAGATTGTATAGAGTCTTGGCACTCTGAACAGCAGTGCAGGTAACAAAGTAGAATGAGCTCTACTTAATTCAGTGGTGACATTTGCTGCAACGATTGTATTTTCATTAATGAGAAAACCAGTGTCTGGAGATGCATGTTATTGTCCATTAACTTATGAGTTCAGCCTTGTCATCTATGAAGTCTTACCAGGGTGGCTCAGTGAGGCCACTGAGCAGTGACCAAGGTTCTCTTTATTTCCATACCTAACTAAAAATAGCACTTAATGCTTGGTTCTTTAGTTTAGACCATTAAGTGATATCCATAGTGCCTTTGAGTAAGAAAGATAGCTTACAAAACATACAGACAGCCATAATAAATCAGATCAGTGTTCCATTTAACTAGTACCTCTCATGGATAATAGTGAAATAGTGTAGTGTAAAGTAGTGTAAAGTGAAATAGTGTAAAAGTGTAAAGTAATAGTGAAAATATACACTGCTAAGCCTCCTGCTTATGCTTTTCTAGCCTTTAGAATACATTTGTGCACTATGCTTGAGGCAAAAAAGAGGAAAGGTCTGTCATTAATACTCAGATATTCATAGCATTCATAAAATCTTGTTCTATGATATGGGAAAAGAAAATAGAGCAGCTTGTTTAGGAATAGTTTGGTAGCACAATTCAGTCCAGTGTATTTTTAGATGCAGTTACATCAGAGTATGGATTTATTTTGTTTAGTGTGACATTCCCAAACAGATGTGATAACTATTGGCCCCTGAAGAAATCTCGAATCCTGGCACAAGCAGCATGGATATTTGCTCTTCCTTTTGTGGTGTCCTGCTCCGAGCGCAGGACCCCAGGAGGACGCAGTGATCGTGCCTGCCGTTCAGCGCAGCGCTCCGCTCGCCTCGCTCATCCTGCTCACCCAGCTGAGGACTCCAGCGGCAGCGCAGCAAGAGCTCAAGTAGCACGTGCGAGTTTAGACTTCTGCCTGCTCATAGGGACTGCGCTGAGGAATCCGCCTCCTTATTCTCAGGCCTTCTGACCATTACTAGCCAGCCCAAATAACCATGCAAATAGTGTGTCTTGAACTTTGAACTAGTTTAGAGGTTTTTGCTGGTATTTCAAATTCTAACCTGCACCGATAGAGCCAGGACTGAGATTCTATTACAGCTTGATTTGTTTCCATTTTGTGTTATAGCAGTCTGTTTATTAATAGCAGATGGCGATGCTTCTTCTTATTCTCTTGATAATTTTTGTTATTCTCAAGGTAATCAGCTATATATACCAGAGTGCAGTATATTAGAGTTGCTAGTTGCTACTTAGTAAAACATAAGCTATTTTTCTGATAACGTGTACAACAATGACAAGTGGAAAACATATATTGTAATATCTACAGGTATTTGGAAGAAAATATATCCGTCTATATTCACCACAAGATTCTGAGAACCTATATCCACACGAAAGCCAACTTCTTCACAACACTAGTCAGGTAAATACTTGCCTGCAATTTTAAAATCAGTAATCAGGATGAAAACATATTTAAGTAAAGACCTTTTTTTTGTTTTGTTTTTAATAGGTTGATGTGGAGAATCCTGACTTAATTAAGTTTCCCAATTTTAGAAATGCTTCATCTCAATCTTGTATTCTGATGCCTGGACAGGTTTTGTTTATTCCAGTTAAATATTGGCACTATGTACGATCTCTTGATATCAGCTTCTCTGTAAGTTTCTGGTGGTCATAACTCAGAAGCATGCATAAAGCTTGTTGGAATTTTAATAGCAATCAGAAAGAGGAAAAAGTAACTTTTGACACTCTACAGAAGACAATTATTTTTAAACATGAGAAATCTCCATTCAGAGTGCAGCTTGATGTTCAGGGCTGGATTAAAAAAAAAACTGCTTCAGCAGAGTAAAAGAATCTGGACAACTATATGGAAGTATGTTGCTACAGACACTTTATTTTTGTGAATGTTTCTAATACAAACTCCTTGTAAAGAACATCTGTCAGCTGCCTGTCTTGTATGTGTGCGTACATCCAAAGCAGCTCTATATATGGGCACTGATGAGACACCATGGCAAAAAAAAAAAATGTTTGGAACAAAAGATGTATACAACCAAGTGAGTGTTTCCTTCTGCTTGGATTTAGTGACAGTGGAAATCGTTAACTCCCTGACAGTTACATAAACAGTGAGGGAGAATGTTGCCCACTAGTGCAATATGTTAAAGTGCTAACATGAAGTATGATACCAATCTCTGATGTGGAAAAGAATTAATAGTATTAAGGAATAGGGCTACAATCAATTGTAGTTAATCCATAGTTCAATTAAATAAATTGAAACTTAATCATACTTTGGTTAATGATCAGCTGAACTGCTGGCTCTCCTCCTTTCTCTGGGAAAGTCTTGAATTCTTTTCATTTCTACCAATTGAAGATACATTGTCATTCAATGCTCTAGCATTTGGCAATATAGTCTCTTTATTAAGTCCCTCTTACAAGGAAAAAACATCCTTTCAGGAAAGAGGGCAGACCTGCTGGGCAACCTGCGCTAGGTGACCCTGCTTGAGCAGGGGGCTCAGACTGGATAATCTCTGGAGATCCCTCCAAGCTCACCCATTTTCTGCCTCTGGAAAAGATGTGCAGACATAACTGTTCAGGAGAGCAGTAAGGTCAATGACAATTTTATTGCAAGATTTTTAAAAACGTTGGGAAATAATAAACACTTAAAATTACATTGTTAAGGAATACAATTGCAAGCTGACTATTCTGCAAGAGAAAGGGGAAAAAAATCACTGAAAGCAGTCTTAACTATCTAGTGCTGAGAATGAAGCTCTTTTCCTCTCTCTCTCTTTGATGACACCTGGGAATCTATCCGACTCACCTCTGTCAAGAAAACAAAACAGCAAGGTTACCGAATGACAAAAAGGATGATGGAGCATGACCTGCAGTTTCTCAAAATGCTTTATATAATCTTGTGCTTCTGTTCATAACATCTGATTTCACTGACTAAATGAAATCTGAGGATTTTGTGCTCTTTGTAGAAAGTCAGTATTTCCAAAGGTTTTTGGTTGTAACTTTTATTTTGCTTTTAGGTTTTGGAGGAGTTTTAGTTTCTGTGGGAATTTTGAGGCGTTCGGGGTTTTTAACTTTAATACTATCAGGAACACTATTCACAAGATCTACCAGTGACCCCATGACATATTCTTGGCAGTTCCAGTGCTCCATGTTGCCCAAGGGTGATTTACTGTTGATTAAAGTAAGAAATAACATACACTCAACCATAATTATGAATGTCATAAGCAGTGTCATTTAATAGCACAATCTATTCCTTAGTATTACTACATACATTTTTTTAAATAGGTTGTTTTTTACCTGGAATCTCATGAGGCCAGAAATCATTACAGTGAGGACAGTGTGGTTCAGTCTGAGCTTTGAAGTACTTTCCAACACAAGGTAAATGCATTCCAATTCCACAGGTTTCACATACTTGGCTCTAAAATCAGAAGTAAAAAAAAAAAAAATCTATTCTCTGCTTCATTTCAATATAAACCTGTCAGAAGGGCTACAGCTATTATACAATGCTTTATGCCAAAGAATGCTTCACACATTACAGTTGGAAGACACTCAAAAAACAATACCAGTAAAGTTAAAAGCAGGCATTTTCCTGGAAACTATGAAATGTAATTTCTTTATATGGTGCAAAATTTAACTTGAAAGCTCAACAACTCAGAGAGATTTGTCTGTAACAAAGGAGAGTGATTGGGATAGAAGACAAAGCAGAAGCTGTTAGTTGGGAAGAAGAGATGTCGGATCACACTCACATGAGCACTCACACACGAGTCATTTTGAAATCCAGGAGTCAAGTAATTTCTGAACCAAAATGGATATGTATCACATTAAAAGTTGCCCTTTGCAAGGTTCAAAGATCAAGCTAGCTAACCCTTACTATTATAACTGTGCAAGGATAAGGATACAAGGATTCACTTCTGGCCTGCTGGGCTTAGAAAGCAGGGCAGTGCGATTTGTTCGCCTTCTCCAAGTTTATACTTTTTTTTCCCCTTTTTTTTTAAGGGCAGAAAATAAAATAGATAAGCTGACAAAAGCGTTTTTTTTTTTTAATATACATGAACACTTTTACTAGATTACAAGACTAGAAATGTTATGATCTGACTGACAGTCAAAGGAAAGTATCACACACTTCAGCTATGACCATGATAGCCCATCAGCAGATGCCTGCTAGGTTTATCCAAACAATTGTGTTACCTGGATGGCAAGGCTGTGACAGATGTTGCACTTCCTTGCTACACCTTGGTAGTTGCTGAGAATATATTGCTCCATCTCCATTATGCAGCGAGTATGCAGTGTATATTCCCCATTTTTCTAAGGAAACAACAACTGGTGAGATAGTTTATTTTAGTTCCTTTTGCCCCTTTTGACCTTGCTCACCACCATTCACCAAACAATTGGCATCCATTTTTTGCCACAGAGAAACAAACATGCCAACACTGATAAAGGCAAAGACAAAATACTTGTGAAGTGGCAGACCCTTACTTACTTAGAATCAAAAGAATGATCCCACACCCTTAAAAGAGATATAGTCTTTAGAAGGTATGCAAGCATGCCTTCCTTAAACAGAGACCGTTTGGGGACCCTTCATTTACACATTATAGAAACGTCTGCTGGCTTTCAGCAAAGTCTTGCTGCTTGATGAGTCTTGGAGACTCTCTGCTAAAAAGCAGCAACATAAGGAAATGTGATGGCATGCTAGAAATCTAGGATAGGATGCATCCAGCAGAGAAGGAATTGAGGTCTCAGCAATCCTAACAAACAGCTGCAGCATCGACTCAGTTTCTGGCTCATGAAATTAAAAAAAAATTCTCCACAGTGGTGAAGGGACTGCTGGTACAAGAGTTTTCAACAACTGACCTCACTGCATTTTCCAAGGCACCATAAATGTTACTGGCAGCACTGATGACCTTGAAGAGCTTCCTCTTGATCCAAGCTTTAAGTATGTTCTGCCCAAGGACTTCCTGCTTGTAAATGTACTACCTTCAAAAATTTTTGACTGGGGTGACAATAAGGGCAGGATCCACAAAATGATTTTTGCTAATGTTCATTGAAGAATAGCTCCAATTTCAGCCATCACATCCATGAAAAAAAAAAATATATCCCAACCTATTCACCCTGAAGAAGAGAAGGCTGAGAGGGGATGTAATCAGTGTGTACAAATACCTCAAGGGAGTGAGGAGAATGTGGTCGGCCTCTTTTCAGTGGTGGCCACCAACAGGATTAGAGGAAATGGACACAAACTGAAGAACCAAAAGTTCCACAGGAACTTAAGGAAAAAAATCTTAACAGTGAGAGTGACAGAGCACTGGAACAGGCTGCCCAGAGAGGTTGTGGAGTCTCCTTCTCTGGAGATCTTCAAACCCGCTTGGACGCAGTCCTGTGCCACGTGCTCTGGGTGACCCTGCGTGTGCAGGGGGTTGGACTAGGTGACCTCCAGAGGTCCCTTCCAACCTTAAGGATTCTGTGATTCTACTAAAATACAAACATTGTGTAAAAAACTTTTGTTACCTCAGAGAGCCACTTATCCTCCACAAAAAGTTTCAACACTTGCTCTGCTTCCTTTTTCTTCATTTTCTTTGTCTTCAGTTGGTCAACAAAGTTTAAAATCTCTGTGGAAGAGGCAAAGCCATTTTCTGATAAAATGATTAGGTCCATCTATAGGAAGAAATATTTTCATCTATTAAAAAAGCATGCAATTAGCTAGGCACCCCTTATAGTAATGTACCACTTTTCCTGCATACATATATACTGGTATATGCTACAGTGTATGGCTTGAACCAGAACTATGTAAAACTCAGGTCAAAAGCTAGAACAATCATAGTTGCCTTGTCAATTTTAATCTTTGCCAAGAACATGTACAGTGTTTCCTAAACAAAGCTGCATGCAATGACCCTTAAGCATATTCAGGTCTGACGCATCTCTTTTGAGGAAGGCTCTTTAGCTATTGGAGT